GTCACTTGGACTGGATGCGACGATGGCCCAACAATACAAGTAATACATGCCAAATGCTCAAGTACAGCACCCATAAACGATCGTTACTTGTATAGGTGGATGAACACCGATGGGAAGTGTGTGTTACTTGAATTACATAAGCAACGATGGATGTTTACTTGGGTCAGCTGGCATTACACGAACTCTGACGGCATGTTACTTGTAATATGATTTTTCGGCGAATGAATTATTCATCAAGAAGTACAAACCTCGTTGTCAGAATGAGTCTCAGTCGATGGAAGTGTGGCGGAAGAACTTCGAAGTATTGAAATTTTTGGCCCATGTACCGGTTCTTTCTGCCAAGCTGGCGGATCTCGTTTGGCATTAGCAACTGATGATGCTGCTGCTCCCATCCGTGCGCGTGCTCTACAAAACAGAATAATTTTCAGAACTTTAGCTGCTGCCCATTTCTGACTACGCGAACTGGTTTGTTTATGGAAAGCCAGCATGAAAAAAAAAATCCCGTACAGAAAAAGAAAGAGTGCGTCATGATGGGCTAAGGCATGATCACAATACTTCCGTTTGGAAGTTTCTTTAAAGCATAAAATGATGGTCAATGGAGCCTAGTCTCGGCCAGTGGAATTCACGGGCCGCCATGATCACTGCTAGTAAGGAAATTCAAAAGGAAATAAAATTCTAAACATGCCATGTTTTCTTCTCGACAAACATACCAGACGGAAAATAACACAGGGCTCCAAAGAGCGCAGCCATAACGAGAAGCCAGACGCGATTTAGAGGAAGCAGATTCAGGGTAAATGCGAAAGAAAGTTGCAGGATCATAGCAAGAATATAGGCAGTTGTTAGAAATCGCCCTAATTTTGCAGCAGTGAAGAATGAAAATGCAAGTGCGAATTCCTCAAATCTGATGGGTACGACATGTTGCTCGCCTTGCCGACAACCGTTAGACAGTGAATAGCACCCTCAAGAAAATCAGCGACCAGCCGAGTCGCCTCCGAGGAAGTGGCGAACATACATCGAAAGGCGATGTACATCAAACCAAGACATTAAGCTTAAGTGCGGAAGGTGCGACACTACTGCGCCAGTGAATGGCTGTATCAAAGCAACATCCATAAGAGCAAATCCACGTACCACCTGTTCGGATGGCCATGTTGGTTTTCAAGCCTTCATAACAAAAAGAGCACACGCAAAAAAGTACTCAAGCCATGATACAGATCAGTCTGGAATCCAGAAATGAAGAAGCACTTACACATGAACAACATGGCGATTGTCAGAGCACGGATCATATTTTTCTTCCCTTAGGCGTACCAACAAATCGTAGACTTCGTCCCCATCCAAAGCATCAGCTTCATACAGCACATTTAGATGCAGTGTCCAGGCATTTTGAAAGCGTCGCTGCCGAAGAATACGCCGATGCTTTTTCAAAAAAAGTCTCTGGAAAAAAAAAAAGAAAATGAACGAAAAACTATGAAATCAAAGCTAAAATTTCAATAAAATCCGTATTTTAGTCAAAATTTAGTGAAAAAAAAAAGACGCACATTCATACAGTCAAAGCAAGAAAAAAACAAACTTACACATGTGCGGTACGTATGGCATCGGCCCAGTGGCTTATGATTCAGACTGAGTAAAAAGATACTCCACAATGACATGAATTCTTTCTCATCAGGCGAGAGATCCAAGAAATCTTCGATTTGCTGAAAAAAAAAAAAACCTTTCAAGTAAGAGTTGAAACAGTCTGATATTTCAAGTGGATGAAAGATGATTGCTTATTTAAAAATTTTCCATGAAATCAATCGGAGAGGGTATGGTATTGCTGTTATAGCATCGGAACAACCGATGAGAAGACCAAAGGACAGTGGAAAGAGCTCCCTGCAGGCCAAAAAATTAAACGACCGCATTTTATTTAGCGAGGGTTGGGTTAGTCCAAACTACTGGTAGCAAATGCAAATCAAGCGGGAGCTAAGAAAGTAACCAGTGGCTTTGCGCAGCGCGCGATTGTTTCGGCAAAAACGCAGAAAACTACTTCACAGCATATTATATGTAAGTTTTAAGAAAAGAAAAAAGGTGTAAAAAAACAAGCGTACTTACTCGGATGATCAGTTCTCGAAGCCATTCCTGATCGGTCTGTTTTGTGGATATCTGTGTGCACTGCATCAACGGATGTCTGCTACGAAAACCGAAATATGCTCTGAAAGGCAGT